CCCTCAGAACAGCCTCAATTCGTCGGGGCATGGACTCTTCAAGGTGTCGAAAGCGTTCCACAGGGATGCTGGCCCATGTTGACTCCAAGGCTTCCCACAGTTGTCAAGTTGGCTGGATGTCCTTTGGGTGGTTGACCATTCTTGATACACACGAGAAACTGTTGAGCGTGAAAAACCCAGCAGCGTTGCAGTTCTTGACACAAACCGGTGCGCCTGGCACCTACTACCATACCCCGTTCAAAGACACTTCAATATTTTTTCTTGCCCATTCACCCTCTGAATGGCACACACACAATCCATGTCTCAATTGTCTCAAGGCTTAAAAATCCTTCTTTAACCGGTCTCCTCCCCTTCATCTACACTGATTGAAGTGGATTTAACAGGTGACATCAATAAGGGATCATAGCTTTTACCTGGATTCACCCGGTCAGTCTGTCATGAAAGAGCAGGTGTTCTTAATGTTTTGTCCACTCAGTGTATATTGATGTAGTTTTGTAGCCCCATTTATTCATTGTGTTAGTATATCGGACAGACACTTTAAAACAAACGTCCTTTTGATCTATTTTGTGACTTTATTTTTTTCATGTATGAATGTGTTATTCAATGTCTTTCTATGGGCTAAGGCCAAATTCAATGTTTCATTCATATATATATAATAATAATAATAATAATATGCCATTTAGCAGACGCTTTTATCCAAAGCGACTTACAGTCATGCGTGCATAAATTTTTTTGTGTATGGGTGGTCCCGGGGATCGAACCCACTACCCTGGCGTTACAAGCGCCGTGCTCTACCAGCTGAGCTACAGAGGACCATATATATATATATATGAATGAATGAATCTTTTTTTTTTTATATACCTAAAGGGGTCCTAAAATTCCAAATCAAGTAGTTAAATTAGACCCCGGTTTAGACTCTTAAGGATTCACTGTTTGTTGCAGTATGGCTGGGTATCATGCTGCCAGTCCTGGGGGTGAAAGCCCTGTCCTCCTACGCCATCGCATACCTGGAGAGACTGCTGCTGTAAGTACCTGACCCTAACCTTTGCCCTTTAACCCCTACCTGGAGAGACTGCTGCTGTAAGTACCTGACCCAAACCTTTGCCCTTTAACCCCTACCTGGAGAGACTGCTGCTGTAAGTACCTGACCCTAACCTTTGCCCTTTAACCCCTACCTGGAGAGACTGCTGCTGTAAGTACCTGACCCTAACCTTTGCCCTTTAACCCCTACCTGGAGAGCCTGCTGCTGTAGTGTAGACCAGGGCCCCATCCCCTAACCCCTACCTGGAGAGACTGCTGCTGTAGTGTAGACCAGGGCCCCATCCCCTAACCCCTACCTGGAGAGCCCAGGGCCCCATCCCCTAACCCCTACCTGGAGAGCCCAGGGCCCCATCCCCTAACCCCTACCTGGAGAGCCCAGGGCCCCATCCCCTAACCCCTACCTGGAGAGACCAGGGCCCCATCCCCTAACCCCTACCTGGAGAGCCCAGGGCCCCATCCCCTAACCCCTACCTGGAGAGACCAGGGCCCCATCCCCTAACCCCTACCTGGAGAGACCAGGGCCCCATCCCCTAACCCCTACCTGGAGAGACCAGGGCCCCATCCCCAATGGACCCCTAGACCCTACACTGTATGCACGTGTGGAGATCTGAGGATTTGATTGGTATAGGCAATACTGGTTAAACTTCCATCTACCTATCAGAGGGCCAGATGGAGATATTACCATATTGATCCTCTCAGACCTCAACAAATGTTTAGGGGTCATAGGGCGTAGGGTTAAGGGGTCCATTTTGGACAGCTGGGGGTGTGGCTGGCTTCAACTTCAATATTACACTGTTGGAGGTGTGTTGTACTTTCTGTTTTTGTAATGTGTGTGTGTGTTCGTTCATTCTCCAGGCTCCATGTTAACCTGACTAAAGGTTTTGGTGTCATGGGACCTAAAGAGTTCTTCCCTCTGCTGGACTTTGCCTACATGCCCAAGAACGCCCTGTCATCCAGGTAACACACACACACCTGTCATCCAGGTAACACACACACACCTGTCATCCAGGTAACACACACACCTGTCATCCAGGTAACACACACACACCTGTCATCCAGGTAACACACCTACCTGTCATCCAGGTAACACACACACCTGTCATCCAGGTAACACACCTACCTGTCATCCAGGTAACACACACACCTGTCATCCAGGTAACACACACACCTGTCATCCAGGTAACACACACACACCTGTCATCCAGGTAACACACACACCTGTCATCCAGGTAACACACACACACCTGTCATCCAGGTAACACACACACCTGTCATCCAGGGTAACACACACACCTGTCATCCAGGTAACACACACCTACCTGTCATCCAGGTAACACACACACCTGTCATCCAGGTAACACACACACCTGTCATCCAGGTAACACACACACCTGTCATCCAGGTAACACACACACCTGTCATCCAGGTAACACACACCTACCTGTCATCCAGGTAACACACACCTACCTGTCATCCAGGTAACACACCACACCTGTCATCCAGGTAACACACCTACCTGTCATCCAGGTAACACACACCTACCTGTCATCCAGGTAACACACACCTACCTGTCATCCAGGTAACACACACACCTGTCATCCAGGTAACACACACACCTGTCATCCAGGTAACACACACCTACCTGTCATCCAGGTAACACACACCTACCTGTCATCCAGGTAACACACACACACCTGTCATCCAGGTAACACACCTACCTGTCATCCAGGTAACACACACCTACCTGTCATCCAGGTAACACACACCTACCTGTCATCCAGGTAACACACACACACCTGTCATCCAGGTAACACACACACACCTGTCATCCAGGTAACACACCTACCTGTCATCCAGGTAACACACACACACCTGTCATCCAGGTAACACACACACCTGTCATCCAGGTAACACACATACCTGTCATCCAGGTAACACACACACACCTGTCATCCAGGTAACACACACACCTGTCATCCAGGTAACACACACACCTGTCATCCAGGTAACACACACACCTGTCATCCAGGTAACACACACACCTGTCATCCAGGTAACACACACACCTGTCATCCAGATGTCTGCGCGTGTGGTATTTTTTAACTGAGCTGCTGTACTGTATCTGTGGAACTTCATGTTGTACATGAAAGACATTCCAGATGTTACATCTAGTGCATTCCAATGCCGCCGCAAGCACAATCTCTATTTTTTCAGGATTGGAGTTAGGATACATCCAGATATTTACATGTTGTACACAAAAGACATGATCGACATGTTCCTACAAACTTTGTAACAGTATTACAAACTAAACAGAAGCATGACATGACGGCCGTCTAGTGATTTCTTCTTAGATTCTGAGTTACATGCAGCTATTTAGGCATATCAAACACAAGCAACACCGACAGGAAGTCAAAATAGCAATTCAATGGTCTTTTTTTCATCATTGCAAACATTGGCTAGTTATTTTTTCAGCAACTCTCACTATGATATGGCAGCGTAACTATGAGGATTATCATCACCAATAGGAGACTACAGTCTACAGTACCAGTCAAACGTTTGGACACACCTACTCATTCAAGGGTTTTTCTTTATTTGTACTATTTTCTACATTGTAGAATAATAGTGAAGACATCAAAACTATGAAATAACACATATGGAATCATGTAGTAACCAAAAAAGTGTTAAACAAATCAAAATATATTTTAGATTTGAGATTCTTCAAATAGCCACCCTTTGGCTACATATTTGACAAAATTGTGAAGAAACAGAACAATCATAAAGTACGAGGAAGAATAAAAGTGTGAAAAGCTTTTCCTCCGACATGAACACTTTTTAGTGCTGTTGTTTGAGGTGCTGTTGTTTGAGGTGCTGTTGTTTGAGGTGCTGTTGTTTGAGGTGCTGTTGTTTGAGGTGCTGTCACCATGAACATTTTTTTTAAAGCAACTTTGATGGAAAGAGGGTAGAAATGGCTAATTTAGTCTACTTGCCAAGCAGAGCTGTTTTATCAAGACACAATTATCATGTGGTTTTTCATTTGGTCCATAGGGCGTTGTAACCACGAAGAGGCCGCGGTGCTCTCGCCTCGCAACGGAGGCTCAGCCAGGACTGATACTTTTGTAACTGAATGAAAGCAGTTTAACAATGTGATTTAACTGATTGATGTTGGAAAATAGATGGCAAACAGCTAACGTCCTACATTTCAACACAACATTTGCAGTTTTATCTAAAGCTTTATCTGTAGCTGTTCTACACATTTTGTCATGAGGCTGAGAGAATTTTGCAGTTTTAAAGCTGATTTCCTGCAATCCTACACATTTTGCTATCATATGCTATCTGGAGGCCCGGGGCACGTGCCCTGTGTGCCTGTTCGTCAGGCAAAATAAAATGATACAATGAATTTGCTCACGGTGCGGCGGCTCAAATGATATGTAATAACACTCTGAGTGCATCGGACATGAAACAACAGGTGCCTTTTAACATAAACACCACTAGTGCTTTCTAACTGCACCAAAACAGTGGCACGTCTTAATTATTATATCATATATAAAATGGACATAACTATTTTAATACAGACTAGCTCAAAACATTACTAATCATTGAAAATGACTAATTACCCAATGGATCATGATGATTTTCTGGTTAAAAAAAGTGGGGGTGCAAAAATATTTGTTTGGGGGAGCAGCTTCTCTGTTTGCTCCATTGGAGTGGGGGAGCAGCTGCTCTGTTTGTTACATTGGAGTGGGGGAGCAGCTGCTCTGTTTGTTACATTGGAGTGGGGGAGCAGCTGCTCTGTTTGTTACATTGGAGTGGGGGAGCAGCTGCTCTGTTTGTTACATTGGAGTCTCCCAGGTAACACCCACACACCTGTCTCCCAGGTAAAGCCATACAAAGTTGATTTACCCCGCTTCATATTTCACTGATTTGTATTTATTTGTTGTGTGTGTGACTGCGTGCATAGCCTCCAGGAGCAGCTGCGTCGTCTGTACCCTCGTCTGAAGGTGTTGGCGTTTGGGGCGAAGCCAGAGACGACCCTCCATACCTACCTGCCCTCCTTCCTGTCCCGGGCCACGCCCCACTGCCCTGATGATATGAAGAGAGAGGTAACACGCTGCAGGGGGAAAGGATTCAGACCCTTTCACCTTTTCCACATGTTATGTTACAGCCTTATTCTAAAATGAATTAAACACATTTGTTCCCTCGTCAATCTACACACAATACCCCATAATGACAAAGCAAAAACAGATTTTTAGACATTTTTGCAAATGTATTAAAAAACAACAACAGATACCTTATTTACATAATAAGTATTCAGTCCCTTTGCTTTGAGGCTCGAAATTGAGCTCAGGTGCATCCTGTTTCCATTGATCATCCTTGAGATGTTTCTACAACTTGATTGGAGTCCACCTGTGGTAAATTAAGTTGATTGGACATGATTTGGAAAGGCACACACCTGTCTATATAAGGTCCCACTGTTGACAGTGCATGTCAGAGCAAAAACTAGAGCTCAGAGACAGGATTGTGTCGAGGTACAGATCTGGGGAAGGGTCCCAAAACATTTCTGCAGCATTGAAGGTCCCGAAGAACAGTGGCCTCCATCGTTCTTAAATGGAAGAAGTTTAGAACCACCAAGACTCTTCCTAGAGCTGGCCGCCCGGCCAAACTGAGCAATCTGGGTAGAAGAGCCTTGGTCAGGGAGGTGACCAAGAACCCCATGGTCACTCTGACAGAGCTCCAGAGTTCCTCTGTGGAGATGGGAGAACCTTCCAGAAGGACAACCATATCTGCAGCACTCCACCAATCAGGCCTTTATGGTAGAGTGGCCAGACGGAAGCCACTCCTCAGTAAAAGGCACATGACAGCCCGCTACGAGTTTGCCAAAAGGCACCTAAAGACTGTCAGACCATGAGAAACAAGATTCTCTGGTCTGATGAAACCAAGATTGCCAGCTGCACCAATGTGTCGGAGGAAACGCCGTTCAACAGATGACCGAAGTCAGCCTGAAGGCGCCCGGTCCGACACAAGGAGTCGCTAGAGCGCGATGAGCCTGAATGCCAAGCGTCAGGTCTGGAGGAAACCTGGCACCATCCCTACAGTGAAGCATGGTGGTGGCAACATGATGCTGTGGGGATGTTTTTCAGCGGCAGGACTGGGAGACTAGTCAGGATCGAGGGAAAGATGAATGGAGCAAAGTACAGAGAGATCCTTGATGAAAACCTGCTCCGGAGCGCTCAGGACCTCAGACTGGGGCGAAGGTTCACCTTCCAACAGGACAACGACCCTAAGCACACAGCCAAGACAACGCAGGAGTGGCTTCGGGACAAGTCTCTGAATGTCCTTGAGTGGCCCAGCCAGAGCCCGGACTTGAACCCGATCGAACATCTCTGGAGAGACCTAAAAATAGCTGTGCAGCGACGCTCCCCATCCAACCTGACAGAGCTTGAGAGGCTTTTCAGAGAAGAGTGGGAGAAACTCCCCAGATACAAACAATTTAATCCATTTTAGAATAAGGCTGTAATCTAACAAAATGTGGAAAAAGTCAAGGGGTCTGAATACTTTCCGAAGGCACTGTTGTATATACTGAATAAAAAATATAAACGCAACATGTAAAGTGTTGGTCCCATGTTTCATGAGCTGAAATAACAAATCCCAGATATTCACACTCCTACTTTTTTTAATTAAGGTATCTGTGACCAACAGATGCATATCTGTATTCCCAGTGACGTGAAATCCATAGATTAAGGCTTAATGAATGTATTTAAATGGACTGATTTCCTTCTATGAACTGTAACTTGTTGTAATGTTGCGTTTATTATTATTAACACACACAAACACACTGAGTGGACAAAACATTAAGAACACCTGCTCTTTCCATGACATAGACTGATCAGTTGAAAGCTATGATCTCTTATTGATGTCACTTAATAAATACACCCATAATAAATACAATCAGTGTAGATGAAGGGGAGGAGACAGGTTAAAGAAGGATTTGTAAGCCTTGAGACAATTGAGACAAGGATTGTGTATGTGTGCCATTCAGAGGGTGAATGGGCAAGACAAAATATTTAAGTACCTTTGAACGGGGTATGGTAGTAGGTGCCAGGCGCACCGGTTTGTGTCAAGAACTGCAACGCTGCTGGGTTTTTCACGCTCAACAGTTTCCCGTGTGTGTCAAGAACGGTCCACCACCCAAAGGACATCCAGCCAACTTGACACAACTGTGGGAAGCATTGGAGTAAACATTGGCCAGCATCCCTGTGGGAAGCATTGGAGTGAACATGGGCCAGCATCCCTGTGGGAAGCATTGGAGTGAACATGGGCCAGCATCCCTGTGGAGTCCATGTCCCGACAAATTGAGGCTGTTCTTAGGGCAAAAAGGGGGTGGGGGGTGCAACTCAATATTAGAAAGGGGTTCTTAATGTTTTGTCCACTCAGTGTATACACACAAAGAATCAGACAAGTGTCTTCAACCACCTCAACAAATAACATTCACCAAAAAATAATTTCTAGTATTTGTATGGTTAATGGATAGAGTATTGTCATGTCCAATACGTTAATTTTGTCATGTCCCCCCCTCTCTCTAGTTGCTCAGCTCCATGACAGAGTGTCTATCTGTCGACCAGCAGAGTCTAGGGGTCTGGAGACAGCTATACACCAAACACCTACCCCAGTCCAGGTACAACACACACCATTCAGAGTCTAGGGGTCTGGAGACGGCTGTATATTTAACACCTGTCCAGGTACAACACACACCATTCAGAGTCTAGGTCTGGAGACGGCTGTATATTTAACACCTGTCCAGGTACATACAAATGCATACACTTTTTAAGCAAATAATATGAAGTAGCGTGCTGTAATACATCTCTCTCTCTCTCTCTCTCTCTCTCTAGTCTGCTGTTAAACCATCTAATGAAGTCCTGGAACACTCTGCCACCCAAGGTACAATATAACCATGGTAACTGCCTCTGTCCCGTCTCAGTGATGAGGTCATCCGTGTACTGGCTCAGGATTGGCTGGGAGGAAAGGAAGTTAATTATTGGGGTATAACAGCTAGAATCAGTTTACAGTCTGCATCTTCATAACCATCCAACTACAACTGAATGGATGTGTCTTTACATCAGGTCAGTTTGGTTACTACAGACAACGTATTGTGATGATGTTGCTATGACCACCATAGCTGTATGTCTGAACACACAGAAAGAGAATGTCATTGTAGTTGTGTGGTAAAACCATAGCGATCTGGCTTGGTTGCCATCTCTGTTCAGCTAGTACACCCCACTCCTGTCATTTGCCAAAGAGACGGGTCTTTCTTCAAATATGTACATTCTATCATTAATGACCTAGAGGAGATCAGAGGATTTGATCCTGATTCGATAACCCTCACAGCTATCCTCCAATCACAATGTTCATTTAAATTAGACTAATAGGAAAATGTTGTAACTTAATTAATACATTTGATTGGAAACATTGTAACATTGGGCATTCTGATGTAATACATTTCACTGGGCGATGGGGAGAACAGAGGATTCACGTTTTATAGCATTTTTATCACCAGCCAATGTGATCACATCAAAGAAGCTCTCACCATTCAAACCTCCCCGCCAGTTCATTTTGAGCTGTAGCCTCTTTTATATCCAGCAAGCAAGAGCAAGGTGCTTCTTTCCTCGAATATAATTTTTTTTTATTGCTCAAAATAAGTGACCAAACTGCACTGTGTACAAAACATCAGGAACACCTGCTATTTCCATGAAAGACTGACCAGGTGAATCCAGGTGAAATCTATGATCCCTTATTGATGTCACTTGTTAAATCCACTTCAATCAGTGTAGATGAAGGGGAGGAGACGGGGTTAAAGAAGGATTTTTAAGCCTTGAGACATGGATTGTGTATGTGTGCCATTCAGAGGGTGAATGGGCAAGACAAAATATGTGTGCCTTTGAACGGGGTATGGTAGTAGGTGCCAGGCACACTGGTTTGTGTCAAGAAGTGCCACATGGGCCAGCATTCCCTGTGGAATGCTTTCGACCCCTTGTAGAGTCAGAGAGTGAGAGAGACCACCCATCTCTTTAGGGATTCCCATGTGAGGCCATGTGCTAAACAGAGTGAGTACGGTAGTGGCAGGGTAGGCTAGCAGGGTAGACCATGTGAGGCCATGTGCTAAACAGAGTGAGTACGGTAGTGGCAGGGTAGGCTAGCAGGGTAGACCATGTGAGGCCATGTGCTAAACAGAGTGAGTACGGTAGTGGCAGGGTAGGCTAGCAGGGTAGACCATGTGAGGCCATGTGCTAAACAGAGTGAGTACGGTAGTGGCAGGTAGGCTAGCAGGGTAGACCATGTGAGGCCATGTGCTAAACAGAGTGAGACAGTTAGGGCTAGTGTCCAGGGTTAGGATAGCTTAGGCAGGGTAGACCATGTGAGGCCATGTGCTAAACAAGTGAGTACGGTAGTGGCAGGGTAGGCTAGCAGGGTAGACCCATGTGAGGCCATGTGCTAAACAGAGTGAGTACGGTAGAGGCAGGGTAGGCTAGCAGGGTAGACATGTGAGGCCATGTGTAAGCAGTGAGTACGGTAGTGGCAGGGTAGGCTAGCAGGGTAGAACCAATGTGAGGCCATGTGCTAAACAGAGTGAGTACGGTAGTGGCAGGGTAGGCTAGCAGGGTAGACCATGTGAGGCCATGGTGCTAAACAGAGTGAGTACGGTAGTGGCAGGGTAGGCTAGCAGGGTAGACCATGTGAGGCCATGTGCTAAACAGAGTGAGTACGGTAGTGGCAGGGTAGGCTAGCAGGGTAGACCATGTGAGGCCATGTGCTAAACAGAGTGAGTACGGTAGTGGCAGGGTAGGCTAGCAGGGTAGACCATGTGAGGCCATGTGCTAAACAGAGTGAGTAAGGTAGTGGCAGGGTAGGCTAGCAGGGTAGACCATGTGAGGCCATGTGCTAAACAGAGTGAGTACGGTAGTGGCAGGGTAGGCTAGCAGGGTAGACCATGTGAGGCCATGTACTAAACAGAGTGAGTACGGTAGAGGCAGGGTAGGCTAGCAGGGTAGACCATGTGAGGCCATGTGCTAAACAGAGTGAGTACGGTAGTGGACTAAACAACCAAAGATGTCAACACTAAAGGCTGCTTTATACTACGCATATCGACATGTCGCAGTGACATCATCAACATTCTATTGTCGTCCGACATCAAACTTGTTGTTATGAAAAAGTATAAACCCAAAAACTACAGGCTGGATGACATCAGCAGCCTGGTGGTCCAAAATAGCATAAATCGTATATTTTAACACCAATAAACCATCCGTTTAAAAAATGAATTTAGTATATGTCGATCTATATGTCAAACCAGGCAACTAAAAGCAACTTTCTAAACAACGTTTTGTTAAGTAAGCTGACTAGCCCAGCAGTTCAAATAATCACCATATCATATAGCTGACAATGTTGTAACTTTAGCTAATTTTGTATTAATTATTACAGGAAAATAAACTCACAAGTTCATGGTGAGCTAATTACAGAGGATATCTTACGGTTGGGAGGGATGGAATAAAAGCAGGGCATTCTACCGGAGTATTTTAGAACTTGGACACTGTCTCGTTGGCCTAACGTTATATCCTAATTTGACTTTGGTGCAGGTCATGTTGTACTTCACATTACCATCTCTAGTAAACACACACTGTATCAAATAAAATCTAAGTTTATTTGTCATGTGCACAGGATACAGAAGGTGTAAACGGTACAGTGAAATGGTTCCTTGCATAGTGGAGTGTTTTGTTTAGACATCTAGCTAGCTAAACAATTACCCATAATCCCAACTCATAACGTTACTACCCTGCATAAATCTAAAGGTAGCTAAAACTAACCAACTAGGTTCAGTGTTAACTAGCTAGCTAACATCAGGCTATAACTAGCAATGCAAATGGCTCTGAGATACGAATAACATTACTACACAGATCATACATGTAACGTTAGCTAGCGAGCCAGCCAGCCAGCTAACATTAGCTAGCTAGACAACAGTACGCTTTAACTTGCAAAGAAAACTTTCTGACAAAATTAGAAACTTATAATATCTGAAAATGTAGCTAGCTAGACTCTCTTACCCGTATACATGGATGGACCCTTCTCCCTCTCTGTCACGGATGCCATGGTTGCCCTTAGTTTGAAGATGTAATCTGGAGACAGGTGTTTTCTACAACAGCCTTCTGTGTTTCCCTCCGCATATGCAATCAAATGCCTGAATTTTCTCCATCTCCTTAGCTATCATACTCTGCTTCCACCGGGCATTCCACTGATTTCAAAACTCTGTCCTCCAGAAAGGGAAGAGCAACACTTTTGCAGTTCTTCGTGATATCTTTCAGAAAAGACGCGTTAGAAAGAATTACCTACACCTACTGAGCAGTTCGTTATAGACAGAAATATGCTACCTGGCAGACCAATCAGACGCCTGCTACATGGCAGACCAATCAGACGCCTGCTACATGGCAGACCAATCAGACGCCTGCTACATGGCAGACCAATCAGACGCCTGCTACACGGCAGACCAATCAGACGCCTGCTACATGGCAGACCAATCCGAACTCATCTCTCGGCATGTCCAGACCATCCATTATCTCAGCCAATCATGGCTAGCGGGAAGGTTCCTGTCTTTTTCCGTAGCTAAACCAACTAGGCTCATCATTTAACAATTGTATTCGTATTTACAGAAGGCATACAAGTTTGTCAGTAAGGCACATGAAAGTTCACATGTTCCCGAAGGCATTTACATTCAAATGCCTCTCCTGTGAAGTAGTGATGCGTGACATATGCCTAGTTTCCTGAAACGGGTCACATATGTCTGCTTTGGGCATGCATGCCATAAATAATCTGACATCCACTGTAGGCAATGGAACCAAAAGGGTAGAGCACGGATAGTGGAGGCAAGAGAGATCCCCTGGAGAGTGACCACTTTCACATGGGATGCAAACCCAAATCAATGGACTTCAATGGTAAAATGTTGTAACAATTCTAGACCGATCTCCTCCTTCACCATTTCAGCGATCAACTCCAAACCAGCTTTGAACTGTTCAGACCTACCAGTTCTCACGGTCTTACGTCAGAATTAGACATTCATCCATGTTTCTCAAACATCCAATTTTGAAGTTGTTCCAAATGTTAGTGTTTAAGGTTAAGTTTAGGCATTAACTCCGAATGGTTAAGTTAGGGTTTGGGATAGGCCCTGAAACCTACTTGAAGGTGCCAGTGCTTACTGTTGCCCCTAGTGGCCGGTGTGAGGATGTCTAGTACTGATGACCAGGCTGGTGCAGACTGTCCCTACTTAGAGGTTAGGGTTAGGCGTGTCCAAAAATACTATACTTTCTGAACTATTAGGATTTGAAATGTGGGTTTAAACGTGAACAATAGGAAAAGCTTTTCTAAATGGTCCTGCTCCAACTATAAAACATTAAGGCCTCAGTAGCTCAGCTGGTAGAGCACGGCGCCTGGTCCCCTGGAGCTCAGCTGGTAGAGCACGGCGCTTGGTCCTCTGTAGCTCAGCTGGTAGAGCACGGCGCCTGGTCCCCTGGAGCTCAGCTGGTAGAGCACGGCGCTTGGTCCTCTGGAGCTCAGCTGGTAGAGCACGGCGCTTGGTCCTCTGTAGCTCAGCTGGTAGAGCACGGCGCTTGGTCCTCTGTAGCTCCTGTCACGCGCTTGTCCTCTGGAGCTCAGCTGGTAGAGCACGGCGCTTGGTCCTCTGGAGCTCAGCTGGTAGAGCACGGCGCTTGGTCCTCTGGAGCTCAGCTGGTAGAGCACGGCGCTTGGTCCTCTGGAGCTCAGCTGGTAGAGGCACGCGCTTGGTCCTCTGGAGCTCAGCTGGTAGAGCACGGCGCTTGGTCCTCTGGAGCTCAGCTGGTAGAGCACGGCGCTTGGTCCTCTGGAGCTCAGCTGGTAGAGCACGGCTGCTTGGTCCTCTTGGAGGCTCAGCTGGTAGAGCATCGGCGCTTGGTCCTCTGGAGCTCAGCTGGTAGAGCACGGCGCTTGGTCCTCTGAGCTCAGCTGGTAGAGCACGGTCGCTT